TTTTTCCCCCTCCTGGGAGTAGGGGTATTTATGTTGATGGTGGATTTCTAATGTGTAGGCTTTTGTTTCATGATTATTAGCTGTCATGATTTGTTTTTCCATGCACATAATTATGTCATAATTGGATAACCAACCATAAATCTCTATTTTTATATATTGGCTAACCTCGCTTCAATGAGGTGAGCGCCTTGCCTCACATCTCACTTCGTGGCAAATTGGAGGCTTGTTTCCTTGGTTTGGCGTGCGCCATTTATCAGGTTTATCTGATGAATAGTCCAGTGGTAATCGGGAAATATTTTTGACTGATCATTTCAACTAGAGACCAGTCAAATTTTGTATGATATGGTATCATATATAATTGATATACTGCTTCTTCTACTTACTATTTCTGTTAAAATCTTATATTTGTATTGCAGGCACCTGAGAAAGCAAAAGAGAATACGGAAACAGATGCCCCTTCCCCTGCTCATTATCAGACAGCCTTTTTAGATGACAGTTTCTCCAACTTTAAGGTTTTTCAAACAAGTGTACAACCCTTTGTATGCATGCAGTTGCATGATTATGAGTCACTGTGGGTTTTCAAAGAAAGAGAAATTTAAAGGCCCATCTATAAGCAAGCCTTTGATTCTGTTCTTGTGTTTGTTAGTGTATCTAAATTATCTTACCTGGGACTGGTCTTGCAATCTGACTTAATCCATGAGAGCCAACAAGCATAATATTGTGTTCTTTAATTTAATGGGACCTCGTTATTTCCTTGCTCTTTAATAGTGTTTGCAAGTGAAGATTTTTCCTGGAGGCACTCATAATATCACTTCCTAACATGCTTAATTTTTTCATTGTCATGTGAAATTAATTATCATGACAATTTACCTGAATTTTTTATTTGCTGTAAAGATGTTAGAAGTCAGTCATCAGATTCAGAAAAGCAGGACAACTCTGAAGTCATTACAGGATCTTGATCATATTTTTAAAAGGTATTGCACTTTTACATAACCATGGCTCCATTTTCCCTCGATGTTCTATGTGATTCTTCATGTAACACAGGATACTGTTATTATCAGGTTTGAATTAGTTGAAAAAATTGAGGATGCATTGACAAATGTTCGATTAGTTGAAGCTGAAGGAAACAAGATCAGATTGTCATTCAAGACTTACATTCCATACTTAGATACTATATTATTGCAGCAAGATATAGAAAATGTCATCGAGCCATTAGAAATGAATCATGAGCTGATAATTGAGACTGTAGATGGAACTTGTGAGCTAAAGAATGTTGAGGTAAGGCTCTCATAATAGTTTTTCATGAACTAGATCAGATTAGGCTGTAGTTCTTTGTCAACATTGGCCAGAAATGCTCTAGAGGACAAATTTTACATTTACAGAAGTTGCTAGAAAGAACAGTTTAGAATGAAATGAATTGTAATCCATATATTATATATGGGAAAGTACATTTGTATAAGCAACATTGAATTCAACTAATCTAGGAAGCTGGTTGTTTGGAAATCAAATTTCCTCTAAGCTATCTAGAACGGAAACTATATATTCACATTTCTATAACGCTCACCTCAAACTGGAGCATAGATATCTGTCATGCCTAGCTTGTTACCAATGGTGATGATGTCCCCTAGTTGGTCCCCAGTCTTCACATAAGCCGTTGAAATCTGGTTTTGTTGAATCTTTTCGTGAACAAAGTGACACTAAATCGTTGTGTTTGGTTCATTCATGTAAACTGAAGCTATGTTCATAAATCAACCTTTGGAAACAAATGTTACCTTGCTCGAACAAATCTGTTAAAGTTTATCAATCTCTAGATTTTCTATTTTGTCTTTTATCTAAGGGTGCTTCTGGTAATGTTTGATGTTGATCCTTCCGGCATGTCCAGAGAAATAGAAATAGAAGATTCATTGTATAAAAGGTGAACTTGTTAAGTCGGAATAGCGGATTAGCCTTTACTTGTTACAAATGATAGTTAGTTCTTCACTAGATTATTTGGTTAACGGAGATGAACAAATATAGCCATCCGAGCAATTAATTTTTTCAATGTGTGTCATGCAACAATGTTACCTGCGTACACATTTTACCTAGGTGAAGACCATAAACCTACATTACTGATGATTTATGTTTATATCTTATCCTCTGATATTTGACATTTTTTACTCTGCATTTTCTACAACTCACTACTGTTTGAATATATATCTTCAGCTATAGCTGACGTGTTTAACTTTATAATAATCACTAAAAGTAGGAGAGTTAATTTTTTTGGTTAACTTGAGTTAATTTGGAAAAAGATGGTATGGTTAGTTGTTAGTGGGATTTTGAATTTATATTAAAAATAATGTGAGGATATGAAGTGATGGTTAGTTAGAATTAAAAGTAGGAGAGATTTTAGTTAAAATTATGTGACTTGATGAATAGTGAATTAAAGTAGATGTGATGTGTAAGAATGATTGGGTGGTATTATTTAATTATATTGATAATATTGAGGATAGTGGAGTTGAGTTAAAGTAGAGTTAGATTTTGAGTTGAATGAAATTTTGGTGAAAATTCTTGTATATAAACATGCCCTTTTCTGAAATGAACTTACATTTAGTCACTGTTTAACATCACATCTGCTGCTCAATGGATGCAGATTTTCCCAAATGATGTATACATTGGTGAGATTTTTGATGTGGCAAATACTTTCAGGTCTGATTTTTTTTTTTCCTCGAATATTTTCTCTCTTATGCCTTCTATTACTACATGGGCAGATGACACATGATTTGAAGCTACTTTTATTATGCTTTTTTATGTTTTTCTTAGACCTTGTTCATTTGACTTTATTAAGGTTGCAGACAACTGCTTTGTGGCAAGCTGCATTTTATCCCTTTTTATACATCGGTATCAACTAATAATGGCTAAATTATAAGGGAATGGAGGGCTAAATATGATGAAGGTAACACTTTTAAAGAAACTTGGGGACAATAATCCGCCATTATGCCCTGGGGTATTTAGTACAGACTACGGAGTGGAATAGCACTAGATTGTCTGTAGGATCATATCTAGAGCCGTGAAAATGGGATAGGTCAGGTGAGCTGGTCCTCCTGTTTCATCCCTCACCCCTCTTGAAAAAAATGGGGGGTTGGATTTAGACATTTGGAGGCCTGTTTAGAGGTGGTCTAAACACGCCAACCCTCTGTTGTTTTTGCCGGGCAGCAAGCCCACCCAAGAAAACATTATTAGTTTCTTTCTCGCTTCCTAATAAAATATCATAAACTAAAATTATTATGAAGGATATACGCAATGACTAAATTTCTTGAGTGCTTTTATTGACTTATTAAGCTTGCCCATCTAGTGTCTAAGACTTTATGTTCTTCCTTCAAACTTAAAATTTCCTTATAGACTTTATCATTTTTTTTATTATAATAAATATTTATTGGTTATTATAAATTAATCTGTTAATATGCATAATATATAAAAAGATTTATTTTTGGACATGCTGACATTCATGGTGATGGTGTTATCAATGATTAAGAATAGTTTTTTTGTTTTTATGGTGCATTGTTAATGATTCCGTACTCCTGTTTAAGTAAGTAATTGTTGTTACAGCCTGANTATTTATTTACACCTGTAGGGTTGTGATGTCCATTAGGTTAGGATGTTATTAAAGAGTATCATATTCTTCAGATTTAGTCTGGAATAATGTGTCTGTTTAAGCTTGAGCATAAAATTTCTTCCTGAATTGTCGCTTGCGCTTGAGACAAGCTTGTTAGAATTGTTTTTTGTTCAGTTAAATTAAATATTTTTTAAAATTTGTCCTTTTTGTGAACCCTCGACTCTATCAAATGTACTTGAGTTGTACGGGATACTAAATTCCGGGATTTTTTTTGTTTGTTTTACTTTATGAGTATAATGATCCAATTCCAGGCAAGTTAATCCTACATTTCCAGACAGTCAGACCCGATCTTCATTGGAGTTTTTTGTTAGAAGGGTATTGGACAGAGTTGCTTTTTCTTCACTTAAACAGTTCGTGGTCAAGAATGCAAATACGTCAAGGTAAGTTAAGGTCAATAATGCATTTTTTTCCTTCCAAGTATGAGCAAATATTTTTTAGCTGCACCCTGTGTAGTTTAAATGGATAATTGGAAATTAGTTAATAATAAATAGTAGTAGTGTTACACGGGTATTAAAAATTTTATACTTAAAAGGTTAAAAATAAATATAAGTTTGTTTTAAAATTCGCAAATAAATATAAGTTTGTTTTAAAATTTTCATATACTTATATTTTTTATTAAAATGACACTAAGATTTGCTTAATCATATAATATGATATGATAGACTTGATAGTTAACTTTAATTAATATTTAATATATTTTTATTATTTTTCAATTAGGATATACTATATAATTTAATTTTTATTTATAAAGGTAGATGTAATTTTTTTATATGCATATGAATGTCGAATCTTTCATATGAATGTCGAATCAAAGATCGTAAAAAATGATTAATCAGATATATCATATATAAAAATCGATAACACATATAAAAGTTATTAAGTTTTAAAATATAAGTGTTCTATAATTTCAAAAGTGCTATGAGGGAGTTCAAATCTACCTGACCTACTTCAAAACACCTTTGACATATAAGATTGAAACACTAGAAATTGACACATTATGAGGCACAAGAAGTTGACACGTAGGTTAGGCAACTGTAAATCTGAATTTAATGCAGTAAACTGGTGATTCACATATTGGAGAGAATAGTGCTGCTCTATTTTTCTCAATTGTTTGTTCCCTCCTTTTAGTAGTTTACCCGGATAGGGTAAATGGAATTTTGTATGTGCTGTTGTTTTATAATAAACAACCTGCTTCGGAGGTGCTTTGAGGCCTTTATGCCTAGAGGAACAATATTTCCTCAATGACACTTGTGCATTGATTAATCATGGTCATGGTCCCAGTAAAACTTCTAACTAACTGTAAATAACTAAAAAACAAAGCTATCCATTGTAATGCACGTGTCTGTCTTGCCTTCAAAGAACATGTAGAGAAAGTGTCTGATGTGCATTATAAGAATGTTCTACATGACCCATTTGCACTATTATTTCTTTAATCTAAATTGTCTGCTGTCCGTTATAAGAATGTTCTACATGATCTATTTGCACTATTATTTCTTTAATCTTTGTCTCTTTCAAAGACACGATTTTTTAAGCTTTATGCAAAATTTGATTGGAGCCATTAAAGATTAACGGCGCACCAAGGTGCCAAGACTCCTCCTTAGGTGGAAAACGCAATACATGTGAATTTTGCACATTAGGATCTTAAATTTCTTAATGATTTTAAAATACAGAGATTTGGCATATAATCCAAAAGGATTCAGTGGTGCATTGAAAATAATCTCATTTCATTTTTATTTAAAATGACATCTGTCATGTCAGTCATCAGTCTTACTGACTTGTCCTATGCTCGTCCTGTGTTTTGATAGTTTTTTAACTCATATCATATGATAGACTTGATACATAAATCTATTTTGTTAGTTATTTTTCAATTATGATTTGTAGATAAATTAATTTTGATTTATGCAATTAGAATTATTTATAATTTTGGGAAAAATTCATAAATGGGTAATTAGAATTATTTATCATTTTGGGAAAAATTCATAAATGGTACCAGAAGTTTACATTCTTTTTGTTTTTGGTACTAGAAGTTTTCAAATATCACTAAATCACTTTCGATACCCAATGTTATGTTGATTAGTCACTTTCGACGCATTTCGCTTAATTTCTGTTATAGTAATGGTTTTTGGCAAAGAATCGTTAACGCGGCGACCAACCACCACCGACATGGCAGAGATCTCAACAATATGATGCATCATTACTCTTTTCAATGACATCATTAATTTTTCATATGATGCATAGAATTTGTCAATCATTGTTAAAGTTTAAAAAATATAAAGAAATTACGCCTAAATTTTGCGAAATACTGTTAGATTTTAATGAAAAGTATATCTTTTCCTTTATTGAGGAATTCCAATGGTATCTTCTGATTGTCGATTGGATCTCTCAATTGCTGGAAATAAGCGAAGAAGTTTCCGGATGCCGGTTGGCTTGAAAATTCAATTAGTGATTTCTGGCGATTCGGTTGTCCAAATTCAATGGACTCAAAACGACATCCGGAATTTTTTTATTTAATCGCCAGTTCAATAAACCGGGAGTTCATCCATCAATTTTGGACCAATTTTTGACAGTTGAGTTGTCAGGAATCGCCAGTTGAAGTTTCCCGATGTCATCAAATTTTTTATTTTGTTATAATTTTTATCAAGTTTTTATTTTATTATTATTTACTTCTGCGTAGGTCAAAAAAGGCTACTAGTAAAAAATGAAGGCAATATTTATTTTTTGAAAGAATTCTTGTTGGACTGATATTGTGTTTTTCAATTTTCAACTAAAGTATATAGAAATCATGCCTTGCCTCACGCCTCACAGCAAATAGGAGGTTTGTCGCCTCGGCTTGAGGCACGTCTTTTTAATCACTGTTTAGGATAATGATGAAAAATCACAAATTTCGGAATAAGATCCATAGAAAGATCTGTTATGGAATTTTCCTTCTCCTCATCTCTTAATTTNAATGCATCAATTTGAATTACTTTTATTCCATTAAAATTTATATGATCGACATTATCTGAAGAATTCATTTGTCCATCTAACTTTTTACAACACTTCATGCATACTGAATAGTACATGTTTTATAAAACAAATTATGCTTTGTTTAGGCACTCATTCGAATACCTAGATAGAGAAGACAAGATTGTAGCACATCTTGTTGGTGGTGTTGATGCATTCATAAACTTGCCTCAAGGGTGGCCATTGTCGGATCAGGGATTGGAGCTAATATCAGTCAAGAGCACGAGTCAGTACTCAAAAGAAATTTCGTTGAGCTTCCTTTGCAAGATTGTGGTAAGTTGCTGACTGCTAATTTATTGCTTTTATGAAAATGAGTGTTGTCTATTTTCCACAAATCAACTGTTTCATGTAACCTTTTTTTGGCTCATTCCATTTCAATATTTAGTCATTGGCAGATTCATCTATCTTTAGTGCCTTCCTTTCGTCAGCTGTTTATTAGTCCACTTTCTATGCTTTTGATCCTGTGATATCATGATGACATATTTGCTTATGGCAGACAAATGGTAGTGAAATATGACAGTAACGTCGAAACTAGAGCTATAGTGTTGTGCATTTTGGGGTCAAATGTCTCGTATGGCAAAAAAAAGAAGCATACGGATAAAATTTGAGGAAGAGTGGTAGCATTATATTACATATTCTTTATATTCCTAAGTTAGAAAGTAATTACTCAAGAAAACTACTTTCTAGGTGGACCATTTTATTTGGTTAATAGGTTCAGTCATTTAATTTCCAGTTACGTAGTTTGAGCTTGTTGCATCATCATCTTCACAACTCTTGATAATGTGTCATTAGAAGGGTGTATTTACCTGTTGGTAGTTACGTATTCATGTGAAATAGATAGACAGATATCTGACACATGCATATCTATATTCTATGTTTGACGTTCTATGTTTTGATCACTAGCAAGTGGCAAACTCCTTGAATCAACGCGTACGTCACAACATCAAAAGCTTTGCTGACAACATTGAGGAGATAATCGTGCAGCAAACGAGTGCACAACTCACCTCTCTGGCATCGTGAAGATATCGAATCAAAAGAATTGTACCTGAGATAAAGTAACAACGACAAGAAATTGGTGGGTGGTCATCTTTCCCTTTGTTTCAGTTATTGTTTCGTAGTATGACCAACTTTTATTAACATTCACTTGGCACATGGGAATTATGTGTTGCTTGACTATGATTGGGTTCTTGTGAGGTTTTTTTTCCAGCAAAATTGGATAGAAGATATATATTCTGCACCTTCTGATTCTTGATGTTCAAACTAATCATTAAATTTCTTGAAGTATCTCACCACCTTAAGATGTGGAATATCTTGGAAAAATACAACCACGGATCAAATAATATAATCTGGCAGTGAGAAATATATGTCTATTAGTTTAGAATAAAATTTGTTCAATAACAAAACGAAGCGAAAGATAAAAGTTGAAAAAATTCAGTTTAGGTAGTTTGGATTATCCTGTGCATGTTGTGTACTTTGGAGAGGAACACTGTTGCATGAGTGAAATATATTTATTTTTGTTATCACGTTATTCTTCTAAGATTCGTCTAGTCGATAGTTTTTTTATCTGCGTTGAATATTACCCCAAATCATTTATATACTCAATGCTATTAGTTATAAAATAGGAAAAAGTTAAAGAACAGCTCGTGTTGGGCAAATATATTTGGGTGCCATACACCGTGAACAAAAATTGATATATGAGATAACGGTTTTACTATGAAGTTAACAGTTGGTTCCATAGTGGAACCAATCTTCTATATACAATAAGTAAACTAATAATATTCGTTGATTACTTAAATAATACTAATATAATTTTCTTAATACGGTAAGTTTACTTGTTATATATAGAAAGTTTGCTCAACTATGGAGTCAACTGTTGGCTTCATAGCAAAACCCTACAAAATAAACTTTAAGATTGCAAGAGTTCGAAGGCATGGTTATCTGTGTATTATCTGAACAATGTAGACAATGGTTTACATAGGTGGCCCACTTGTTAAATAATAAATTAAAATTTGATGGCGAAAGGACATATATGACTTTCCACAAAACTCTGTTTCCCAATTAACGAGACTCAAAGTTTTATAACAGATCTAAATTTTCAATTCCAAGATAACGAAGCTGGCCACGAATAAGGAAGGTAAACTTGTTGTCATAAAAAAAAAGTCGCTCTCTCCCCCAAATCGCATCCTTTACTGTAGCAAAAAACCTAGCCCGTCGCACGCCTCATCTCCGCCGGCCTTCTCTTCAGCCAGGGGTTTCAATCCGCCACGATGGCCTGGGCAGCAGGGCAATCTCTCCCCTCTTTGTCTTATCTCGATTTCTTCCGGCGCCAGAGCTTCTTCCTATTGAGAATGTCTGTCGCGGGAATGCTTCGAGATTCGGCGGCGGGGTGGAGGTTGCCGGCGACGTCTGCTGAGGTTGGTGGTTGGCGCTTGGGCCATCGCCTCTCTTCCTTCTGCTCCTCGCCTGGTGTCTCTGAAGTTGGGCGTCGGCAAGGGGTCCGGCTGTTCAGAGCTTCTCCGGCTTCGGCAGCTGGGTATTGGTGGAATGGGTGGTGCGGGGTCCTGTGTGCTTTCGGATGTGGACCCGTTTAGGAGAGGGACTGAACTAGGATGTTGTGGATGTTGTCAGCTAGCTCCGTCTTGGAGAAGGGAGTTTCGTCGTCTACTTCTTGGGTGTGGTCGTACTTTCTTGGTTTCGTTGTCGGGTGTCTGGCTCGGGGGTGTTTTGGATCCTTTTACCGGTTGTTGTGGAGGGCTAATTTGCATCGTTTGTTGGTGTTCTTATTTTTGGATTTGTCTGTGTGTGTTTGTAGTGGCTTGTGTTGAGGAGGGCTTATTATCTATTTTTTTTACTATATCTTAAGTTTATGTTTAGTTTATTTTAAGTTTATTATTACTATATCTTAAGTTTATCTTTAGTTTATCTTAAGTTTATTATCTATTTTTTTTAACTATATCACTAAAAACAAATTGACAAACAAAACATATGAAAAATAAGACTTAATATAAGAAAAAAAAAGAAAAACAAACAAACAAACCATCAGTAAACATCTTCAAAATATAAAAACACAAACACCTTAAAGACAATAACCTTGTCATAGGCTTTCCACTTTTTTGTTTTTAAAGCGTTATTACCATTTCTTTGTATTAAAACTTATTATAGGTTTATAAAACATCACAATAATTCAAATTATAAATTTAAATTTATATATAGTTTATTTTCAGTTTATTATACAAGAAAAAAACAGTTTATTATACTTGAAAAAATTATATAGGGTTTATTTTCAATTTATTTGTAGTTTACCTTAAGTTTGTTACATTATTTTTGTAACTTGAAACTTTTGGTTTTTCTCAAGTTTATTATCTATTCTTTTACTAAATCACAAAAAATAATTTGACAAAAAAAATAAAATAAATAAACATATACAAGATAAAACTAAATATAATGGTTTATCTTAAGTTTATTATCTATTTTTGTACAAAATCATGAAAACCAAATTGACAAAAAAACCAAAATAAAACTAAATATAAACTATAAATAAGACAAAAAAAAGAACAATTAATAATCATAATCTAACCATTAATAAACATCAATCTAACTCTCAAATGTTCAAAACACAAATATATTACATGCCAATACACAACCCTATTAAAACTCCTATATCGTTTCACTGCCTTAAGCATAGTCGGGCCCCTGAAGATTGAAACTCGAACATGTACCTCCAGATCCAAAATCCCTACTCAAGCAGTCCAACTCAAATGCGACTTCCTTCACACTCGGCTTATATTGACGAGCACGCTAAGCACTTCTCGGCAAGATTTTCAACTTGCATCAGCACCTCAACCTCACCACACGCCTCCAAACGACTGTCCAAGATCCTTACCAAGTCGTCCCCTCGTCAATAGCTCCACTAGCACCACTGCAAACGATAGACGTCACCTTGTTCTGTCTGTATCTCATGGCTCAAACAGCCCACCGAGCCCGGTGAGTTTTGCATCTCTATTCTTCATGGACTGCTTTTTAATGTTCGTTTGTAAGTGACACTTGCACCGACTTCCTTGTAGAGCCTATTGTTGCAGTGTAATTGTTCGTGGTTGTCTGGATGTATCCACAAACTAGCTACAATATCAAGAATTATGAAGCCTGGATGGATAATGAACATAATGTTCAAACATATTATTTCTCCCATGTAATTTCACAATCTCTTTCAAATACCAAAGTAACTTGAGCATAAACTAAAAGTAAATCCCAGCAACTCATGGGTAATAATTTCAAAATCTCTATCAAATACCAAAGGAAAATTAAGCAAAAATTAAAAACAAATCCCAGCAACTCATAGATCTAAAAATATCAATCAATGAAACTTTCACAACTAAAAAATAAAATCAATTTCTGCTAACCCTAAATTAGCAAAACCACAACTTTGATCTCAAAGGCGGCAGACGGCGCCGACGGCGAGATGAAGAAGCCGACACACTCAACCCAGACCAGCCATTCTTCCATGAACTCCCGAACCCAGAACATCTGCCGTCATCCACTACCACCACGCCGGCGGCAAATTCGGTCTGTAAATTCGGCAGCAAATCCGAGTGTATATTTTTATTTATTGATCTATAAAATAAATATAGTATGAAACGCAGGAAGAAAAAAATGTATAAGAAAGAGAATATACAAAGTCGGTTGTGATATCAAAGAGGCTCGATCGACGCCTACGACGATTGAGATTGCTCTGGCGGATGAAGTATTTTTTAGCATGGCTTGCGACCTGTGTTGGCGTGCGACTGGGATCTAATGAGGTTGGAGTTAGGGTTTGAGGGAAGATGAGGGCAATTGATTTGAAAAGATTAGAGACAGGGAAAGTGGAATTAAATTTTTCATAATTTCGTACTTGTGACTTCATTAAGTCTAATGTGCGAAATATTTTTTAATCTCGTCGAATGGGCCAAATAAAAAGTTGGGCTCGTGCGTCAGGTAATTAGTTCAAATTTGATAAGTGAATAATCAGTGGACTTGTAAAAAATAAACCGAAATTTTAAGAAGTGAATAATATGTGGACCTAGTAACCATTTTGTACTACACAACATTACTTTATATGGACTGATCCTTGAAAATTTACCCCATACGCTTGGTTTCTACTAGTTTATTTCCTATTAGATGATATTTTGTTTTTATTTTCAGTTCACACACTCCAATCTCCACTATTATGGACATTGATGACTTTTATTCTATATGTAATATACTTTTGAATATCTGCAAAAGTATATGTATCGAATACACCATCCTCCCCTTGGAAGTACTAGTAATCTTTTTTTGAAAAAAAAAAATGAGTGGATTCGGTCTTATACATACGCGAGGAAGGTAATAAAAAAGAAAGAAGATGCAATCTTTTGTCTTTTATCACTTAGGAGTCGTGTGAGATGAAAGCCTCATGCACGGTTTTGAGCAATGAGGAATCTTTTTTTTTTTTACTCTGACTCTCCTACTCAAGTGGTTGCGTTTATTTCTGTTACTTCGCAGTAGCTGCTCAACTTTAGCCACTCGAATTTTAGATATTTCTTTTTATTTCTCATCAAGGGAATGACGTCTTCTTTTGGAAATTCTAGCTATTCTTAGCATGATATTCAGAAATATCATTGCTATCACTCAAACAAGCATGAAATATATGCTTGCATATTTGTCCACATGTCAAATCGAATATGTAATTATTGGAACTAGTACAGTTACCCGTGCAAACTCACGTGAGCTACAAAAAAGGTGATTAAAATAAAAATTATAGTTCATATAAAATGCATCACGATTACACATTATTGAATACTTCCTTATATACAATGTTCTTCGTCTGCGATCTATTCTCATTGTCAGAAATTAAAAATTTTCAATCAATTTCTATCGGCGACTCGTGAAACAACGACATAAAGCTGGCCATGCATAAAGCTGACTCTAACTCTTGTTTATCGTCATTGCATAAGAAACCATCAAATCAAATTGTCGTCTTTGAAACTCGAAAGGTATTCTTACATCCGATGGAGTCAAACTCATCCTTGGTATAAGAACCAATTATCTAATGTTCGAACCCGTTAAAACTATGCACTGCAACACATGACTACATAGCCTCGTTATAACTAGACGTGTGCCTAAATAGACCAAAAAACAAAAAACAAAAAACAAAAAAAAAAAAAAAAAATTGAAAGTAAGAGATTTTGAAATATAAACAAATTTGAATTACTAAATTCACCTCCAACAACTTTGGCATGACAAAATTATAAAATAACCACAAGAGGTTCGATTTCACGGTTTAGTATTGAAGGCATTATTTCATCAACTTTTTTTTCCTACAACGTTCAAGATAGTTTGTTTCGATTGCAAAATTTATTGGTATCGTTATATAAAAATTACTCAATGTCCTCCAAAGTTTTTTCGGTAAAACTTGTTGTTCTGTTGTCAAAAGACTTCGTTTGCATTTTGTTTATATCGACAACTCGCGCAATAATGTTTGTCAAAAGTATTAAAAAATAATTAAAACATGAATTAAATTAAAGATTAAAGATTTAATAAAGTACGAATAAAAATAATTAATTGTACCAATGAGCATGGAGTCGTAAAAGGTTCTATGGAGTCGAAAAAGGTTCTTTTAGCCAACTCAGAAAAGCTCGTGAAATTGTAGAGGAATTTTGAAAACCTGTCTTCTGTGACTCTCACCACCCGAGTTAGGCCATGAAATGTAATTTTGTACCTTCCTCTTATTATCTTGTACCTATCACCATTTGGAGCTACAATGAAGTCCCTAATTGCAACAACACTTCTTTTTTTCAAATGGCGCCTATAAAACTTTTTTAATGGAAGCATGAATACGGTACCCCTTAAATTAACAAATAAAAAAAATCAATTATAAGGGAAAAATGTGTTATATTCAATGTGAACATTGAAATCGTTTTACGTCTGCATCATGAAATATTACTTCAAGACCCAAAAGTGTAGAGTGTTCCCCGAATGTTGTACGCTCGTAGCATCTTAGGACACGGACTTTTATGTTCCATTATGCGTTATCCATGTTCACATTCTTAAGAAGAGTGAATGCCATGATTTTGCTTTAATTTTTTCTTGCATCTTACGAAACGAACTTTTATGTTCTATTATGTCTTATCCATGATCACATTCATTAGAAGAGTGAATGCCATGATTTTGTGTTTTTGTTTTGCAGTGAAACTCTAATATGCAATGATGCAATGATATATTGAATCAAGAAACATACAATGATGCAGTGATATTGAATCAGAATAGATGTATCTATTTATAACGATCAAATCAAATGAAGTGAGTTGTTTTTTGGAATGCCACTGCAACATAAATACACATAGTACTTGTTAACTGGCGAACCACGACAATCTGTATAATTTTAAACTGTGATACAATTGAGGCAACTGAAAGACGGTTGTTCAATTATTTATTATTTATTTATTATTAATACTCTTTTATTTGATAATTAATTATCTATTTTATGTAGAAACAACAATTTCGTCACAGGATCGGATCGTCCAACAATTGAAGAGTTGTGTTTTTCATTTGTAATTGTAATTATTAATACACACATACACACACACACACACACACACCTGTACACTCATATTCCATATCCATATACATTCATTTTCATAACTAACAATGTAGTTATTTTTTTAAATAAATATTTTTGTAAATTTAAATGCAATTACAAAGTAAATAATAAATAATTTTTAATTAAAGTTGAATTTAATTTTGAAACACATGATTGCCTAGTCTCGTTATACCAAACGTGTACCGTTGCACAAACCGTTGACTAATATTGTAAATAGAAAAAAAAGTTTTATTAAAAAATAAAAAATTATGAAATATAAATGTAAATAAAAAACAAGTTAGCAGTATTAAATTCACCTCCAACAACTTTGGCCTACAAAATAGTAAAATAACCACAACATGTCCGATTTCGCGGTATAATATTGAAGGCATTATTTCATCAACCTTTTCTTCCCACAACGTGCAAGATAGTTTGTTTCGACTATAAAATTTAAGACAAAAAAATAAATATAAAGTATTAAAATTAAATTAAATTATAATTTAAATGAAAACAACTTGCATAACAAAAACATTTTGTTGTTATCGTTATATAAAAATTACTCGTTGTCCTCCGTTGACGGGCGTTTCCGGTCAAAGGTTAAAAAGATTAAATAATGAAAAGAGAATAAGGAAAAGACAAGGGAATACGGTTTAATTGCAGTTTTATTAATAGATCGCGAGGTCGGCCTCTCGTACGAGGTCGGCACTTGCAATATCCTTACAAATTGTTACAGAGCAATTACACGAGTTTTAGAGAGAGAAAGTAGAGAGAGAGAGAGCTTTTTCAGTTGAGATTCAACAACCCAAAATAAATGAGAAGGGTTGCTATTTATAGTAGCCTTAAATGTGGCACTGTTCAGGTACTATTCATCAGTCTTGTCGTACAGTGTTCCTGCAGGACAGTCCGGCGCCTCCCTGACAGCATTAAATGCGATTTGAGGTTTTCCTCATCATTAGGTGGCAGGCATTTAATGCTGACAGGCTTTATGTCTTAGCTAAGAGGAGTAGGTCTGCGGGCTATGACGCCCCATCCACTTAGCCAATGATTGCCCCCACCCAAGTGGCATTATTATACCATTATAGAGATCGGCATTCTCCGTCGTAGAGGTCCGCTCTGGGACCCCAAGTCGGCACCTCGGCATCTTACCTTCGTCTGTTCCCCTGGTCCCGGGGAATCTTTCTTTCAGTCCGTCATTTGTCAGCCCGGCACCCGCAGTGTCGTAATCGAAAACACCGAACTGACAAATGGTCTCACGGCGATGCCAGGGTCAAAAAAGTTTTTTGGTCCAGCTCGGCGCTCTATGGGTGGACCGGATCTCTGGTTCGGCTCTCGGAATTGCGGGGTCCGGTTCAGTCTCATGGGCGAACTCGGATGTCAACATACAGGCCCCCGGGCTCGGAGAGGGTGTGCTTCGGCATCCTCTGAGAGGCCGTTATCCTTAGAATACATTTGGGGTCGGCACATGACCTGGACTCGAGCAAATCACAACCACAATTTACCCGTTATCTTCTGATCTGAATTGACGTCCCATTTAATGCGTTGTGACCGTTGTGCTTCCTGTCGGTTACGAAAAGGCGTGCCGGTTCAGAGCTTTTACACGTGTCGCCCATTTATTGGCGCTCTCCAAACGTCGTGTCGCTTCGTCGAAGCGGTGACTTTTGGGGCGCGTGGCTTTCACGCGGCCGTTCATGAACCGTCAGATCGTTTCGCCCCCCACCGTTGGATCGTGTCCTTTAATTTCGAATTTTAAATGCTGCGCCACGTGTAACGTTGCGATTGGTTCTCCGTATGTATATATATCCCCATCGTCTTCCTCGAGAAGCTTTTACGAATTCCGAAGTTTCTGAGCAATTGACTCTCTGAGCAACTAAGTTTTCCAGCAAGGGTTCCGAGGCTAATTTCGAGATTCCTTCGAATCTTTTCGGCGCTTCTCGTACCGGTAATTCCGTTTCCTTCGAAATCCTCCTTCCTTTTCTGTTTTATTTTCGATTATGTCGAGTTCTTCCGATTATGCGGCGAACTTCCCTGCCGGAGATGGCGGCTTCGTGGCGGAGGAGACGGGGGAGTTGGTGGTTTACTCCCCTCCGGCGGCGGAGATGATGCGACCGCTCAGGGTTACGCCGATCTCGGCCGTCCGCGTTACGTCAGCGACAGCGGAGGCGGGTACTCGTCGCGAGGGCCCTTCGGATTTTCCCACTGTCGAGATCATCGACCTCGGCTCCGACCGGTCCGATGGCGGCGGGGTTGAGAAGGAGGCCTGCGCTGCCCCCTCCGAGGACTCTGATGTCGACGCCGAGCTGGTCGACGAGACGCTCCGCGGTGATACCCACGGGAGGGAGCGGGTCCCCATGGGCCGTGAGGATTCCGAGACCGACGCTGCCGTCGAGGATGCCACCGCGGTTCCTCCCGGATGTTGGCGCCGCCCTGCGCGTGTGTGGCCGTCTTCTGCCTCGGCAACTGCTTGGACGACGGCGTCGATACTGAGGGACGTCGATCTCGCCCAACTGCGGGGAAAGGCGTGCTTCGGTGCCGGGGTCCGAGTTTTCGCCCCCTACGCCGGCGAGCGAATTCATTGCCCCCCTCCGGGCTGCATCGGGGTGTATCGTTCCAGCATTCTGCTCGGTCTCCGATTCCCTTTGCCAGGAGCCTTGAGCGACATCCTTAGTGGGATCGGTATCGGCATCAGCCAGTTCGTCCCGACAGTCTTTGCCCGGCTGGTCGGCCTTATAGTCCTTTTCCGCCAGCAGGGTTGGGCTGACCCGACTAGCGATGAGGTGAAAGCCCTCTTTGATTTCAAAAGGTCCGGGGAGTCCGGCAATTACTATAGCTCGGTATCTCCCGGCGTAGAAAAGTCCTTGATTCACAAGGTCCCTGAGTCACTGCATGGCTACATGCCGGAGTGGTTTTGGGTCGGCAGCGCATGGAAGACGCCGAACGCGGCTCGGCACCCGTCGACTGATTTCATCTCTGGCCCTTGTAAGTTGTTTACTTTCGTTCATTTCCGCTCTTCCAATTAACTGTCCTTGTCTGCTAACAGGTCGGTGTTTACATTTCAGTCCACAACCCCCATATTGAGCCAAGTGACGAGCTGGTCGCAAAGATCGAAACCCTGCTCGGACTTTCTGCGGACAAGCGTAACTACCGAAGTCTTGTCGCGGAAGAGAGCTTGATCCAGCACAATCTCTGTCCCGAGTACAACAGCAAACATTTCGAGCCCGGTACTCCTCTAGCCTCAGATTCTCGTTCATGTGTTTTAGTGCCCTTACATTCTGTTCTCACTTGCATTTTATTAATGTCTGACAGTGTACTACCCTCTCCATCGCGAGTGCGGATTCGGCTCGGTGAAGGAAGCCAACAAATACGCGCGCGCACATCCGAGCTCTCTAAAAGATCGAAAGATGGCCAGCCGTATGGATTTCTTGACAAGGCAATCGAAGAGGAAGGCCCCAGCGTCGAGCTCAACGGGGGCTTCAGACCCCGCTCCGCCGAAACCAACCTCCGGGGCCACGCTTCCCCGAGAGGCCGAGGTACCTGTCAGCTCGGCCCCAACCGTTACCGCCCCCGCTCCCGCAGGAGGACGAAGGAGCCGGGCTAACACCTCTGAGCCCGGCGCCGGCCACGGCCGAGGTGCCGCCAGTCAGGGCGGGCCCGCCCGTCAGAGGAAGCGTCGGATCCTCGCGGAGGAGCCGGAGGAGCCGGAGGAGCCTGCGGAGGACGAGCTCGGGGTGCAGAACAGTGCCCCGCCGTCCCCGAAGAAGAAGAAGGTGGCTGAGGTCCCGGGGGCCGCCACCGCGGGTGAGAGGTCGGCTCATGTCCATCAGGCCGGCTCCTCGACATATATACCCGTGAACCCGAGCCGCAAGGCCAGCCTCTCCAAGAGCCTGGAGGGGTTTCCTGACCAGTGGTTCATCGACTCGGCGTCGGCGATTCCACTTGAGTTGCCCAATCCCCACAGTCTGCCGAGGGAGGTGATGTCCGCGGCGCAGGCCGTGATGGCCTCTTGGACCCCGACCGCTGAGACGGCGATGACTATGCTCTCGCCGACACAGCTCATTCAGCACTCGGTGGCGTCCATGGGCCGGACCATGGTCGAGCTGATCCACGCCGCCGTGGCCATGCAGCGGGAGGTCGACGCCCGCGATAGGGCCGAGGAGGATTTGGCCACCTCCAAGGGTCGGATCAGCGAGCTCAAGGACGAGGTCAGGAAGATCTCGTCTCTGGAGAACGAGCTGGTCATCCAGCGCGGCTCTATCGCCGTGGCGGAGAGGGCGGCTGCTAAGGCCGCCGAGGATCTGGCTCGCGAGAGGGCGGCGTGGGCTCAGCAGAGGGAGGAGATGGAGGTGAGGCTGGCCACCGAGCTGTCGGAAAGCGAGAGGCGCCGTGCTGAGGAGGTCCACGGATTCGAGGAAAAGCACAAGGCCGACCTCGTCCGCCTCGCCGAGCTGCATGCGGCCGAGATCGCCGAGCTGAAGAGGAAGCATGAGGAAGAGGCCACCGAGTTGACGAACTACGGGAAGAGGCTGACCTCTCAGCTCACCCTCCTCAAGGAGGCCGCCAAGCAGATAGATGGCGAGCCCATCGCTCTCCCTCCGCCGGCAACCTTTGCCGAGGTCCAAGCTCAGTACTTCGAAGAGATGAGGGAGAGCATGGACATGGCGGCGGCCTTCAACCTCTACTGGCTGTTCCAGAGGCTGGATGCCGGGGTGCTGTCCCTCGACGATTTCCGGGCCATCCTCGCCGAGAAGGCGGGTCGGCACGACCTGGATCTCGAAAGCCAGGTTTGCGAGGTCGACCCCGACGAAGCAACGGTGGTTCGGAGGCTCCGGGGTTGGGAGGATGACATCATTGTCGGCTTCGAGAAGTTCGGCGCCGTCCCGACCCTGGAGACATGGAAGTTGGCCCCTGGGGAGGTTCTGCCGGCGTATAAGCCGTTTGCTCCCGAACCCGAGCTTGAGCCCCGGCCGAGGCGTGGGGTCGTCCTCTCTGTTATCGCCGACATGGAAGAGGCGGAGAAAGCTGCGGCTGCGGCGAAGGCGAAGGCAGCGGAGGACGCCGAGGCGGGTGTTGGCACTTCCGGGATGAAGGAGGTCGAGGAAACGGCCGCGGCAGAGACCGGGGTCGAGGTCGTGGAGGTAGACGCCGAGGCCGCTCCCTGAAAATTCTCCGGCCTGCGTGCCGCGGTTTTTCGGCCGCCTGTGGCCTCTTTTTAGGGTTTAATTTTTCGAATGGTTTGTTTCTTGGGCCTGCGAGCCGCTTTTTAAAAGACTTGAATTATGAATGCTTTTTGTGTTTTTCGAACGTTTCGTTTTGAATGAATGAATTATTTAAAGTACGGGTTTGGTGCCGAGCTAGGCGTCTAGTTATTTGCTCGGTTTTATTTACTTATTTACTTACGAATGAATGGTTGTTTATTCTCGATTTTTTCAAGTGCGGGCTTAATG